ATGATGTCCTTCTCCAGGGACTGATCCCTCCTGATAACACGTCCAAAGTATGTGAGACATAGTCTCGCCATCCTCATTTCTAAGGAGCATTCTGGCTGTACTTCTTCCAGGACAGATTTGTTTGTTCTCTTGGCAATCCATGGTATATTCGATATTCTTTGCAAACACCATAATTCAAATGCATCAATTCTTTTTCAGTCTTCCTTATTCATTGTCCAGCTTTCACATGCATATGAGACAATTAAAAATATAGCTTGAGTCAGGCTCACCTTAGTCCTCAAGGTGACATCTTTGTTATTTAACACTTTAAAGAGCTCTTTTGCCCAATGCAATGTGTCATTTGATTTGACTGCTGCTTCCACAGGCGTTGATTGTGGATCCAAGTAAAATGAAATCCTTGACAACTTCAGTATTTTCTCCAGTTACCATGATGTTGTTTATTGGTCCAGTTGTCATCATTTGTTATTTCTTTATGTTGAGGTGTAATCCAAACTGAAAGCTGTAGTCTTTGATCTTCATCAGTAAGTGCTTCAAGTTCTCTTCACTTTCCACAAGCAAGGTTGTATCATCTGCATAACGAAGGTTGTTAATAATGAGTCTTCTTCCAATCCTGATGCCACACTCTTCTTCATATAGTCCAGCTTCTCAGCTTATTTGTTCAGCACACAGATTGAATAAGTATGGTGAAAAGATACAACCCTGACACACACCCTCCCCGATCCTTTGGACACCCGACTGGGTGGTTCTACTCATCCTGTAAGATGGCTGTGAGTCGGAATCTACTCGACAGCAATGGGTTCATGTGAGACACATCTGTATGTGGGAGTGACTGGATACCTTTAACTAAAAGGGAGAATAAAGGAAAAGGAACAGACTTTTTTCCAGGGAAGAGGAGATAGGCTGTGTAACAATATGCTTAATTTAAGGTACCCTGATCATCTAGGTAGAGATGTTCAATAAACATACAGGTTTGGAGATCAAGGCTTGAAATTTAGTTTGGGAGTCTTCAGTATTTAGCACACGGATGAGATTCCTCCCACACGAGGAGTGGGGAACACTGTAACCTAAAGAATTAAATTGTCTGCCTTTTTCCTGTGTATGCTCAAAACAATAAGCTCCTAAATTAGGGCTGCAGGAGATACAATTTAATCTTGACCTTATAGTTAAATCAGTGATCTAAATGATATTTCCATTCCTGAAGGTTGTTTAATTGCATTATTTATTGCTATTCATATGTTATTAGTGATCTTTTTATTATCATGGTTCTTCCAATCTTATCCAGAGCCTCCCAAAAGATTCTTTTTATTATCTGGAATCCCCAAAGCCCCCTGCACTGATCTATAAAAAGGGGATAGATCAGGATGAGAATCAATCGAGCAATTACTGTATTCAATGTGTTCAATGTTTTAAGGCATAGAAAACACAAAAGTATAAAATGGTCCCTGTCTTTAGTAAGTACAATTTAGATGGAGTGATAAAATAAGGACAAAAGTCTAACAGTGACCAGAGTTTAGGAGGCAATTTTAATCCTGAATGTAATTTCATCTTGCCCTTGGATAAGTAGCTAGAGGGATACTGTCTTCTCCCTCCATTAATGCCTATAACTTAGGAAAAATTTATTTTGTTGTTAATGGCAATTTTCTAAAAAGCCACTAGATGGTGGCATTGCCTCCAAAAAAGGTGAGTATGTTTTGGGAGGGTGGTGTTAGTGACCCAGTGTATCTGGTTCTTCCTGGTAACATTTCAAGACCCCTTTAATTTCTTCCTTCTTATTGGATCATAATATAGAAATGAAGTGAGTTTTTGGTAGTTTAGAAAACTTTTGTTTTATTACGGTTTCATTGCAGTAAATTTTAGAACAATTAAGAGATTTGTTTTTCAACACTATAAATAAGGATTTTAGAGATCATTTATTCTAAATCCCTCATTTTAAAAGTTGAGAATAATGAGGCCCAGAGAAATTAAGTGATTTGCCCAAGATCTGCCCATTTAACCACAACTGGTTAAATGACAACGCCAGAGCTGGAGCCAAAGTTCTCTGATTCAGGCCTATCGATTTTGTCCTTGCATTAAAAAATAAAAGTTATCGTTTCTTCTCTAGAAAATGAAATTATTTTCAACTTATGTGCAAAGTACCTTAAAAAAAGGGGGGGGGGACAATCACACAAAGAGAAAATGATACTCCGTCTTTGGAAAAGCAGTGGAGCAATGATTTGGTAAAATAAAAACTCACAAGGAAATATTATGTGGCTAAAAGTCTCAGGAAAAGTTGACTTAAAACAGGTACTGAAAGATGACAGATAATGAAGAAATGGGGCAAAAGCTTATCTCCAAGTTCTACAGTTCCCAATGCTTATAAATACTGATATTCAAAGTGAGGAAAGGATTCTTTAGGTTTAAAGGAATCATTTCCGCCCCACTCCCTAATTTTAATGTAAGGGTTCTCCTTTTTTCTATTGTAGCACACATGACAGAGGAGCTCCACACTGGTCACACACCCTCAATGTACTATTCCTCTGTGATACCTGTAACTCCACCCAGCTTTCCTCAAATTCAAAAAAGCCTATCCAAAACATAATGAGAGAGACATGGTTGATAACCTTAAATTTGCTGTATTTTGAAAGAAACTAATTTTTTTGGACATTTCAGTTACTGTATCTGTAGTAACAAATTTCTTAGAAAATACTTTAAACTGACAACTTTTGAATGGGTATATTTCCCTCTGCTTATAGTAACAAAGTAGAAATATGAATAAAAAATCATTTGCTATATATTTTTTCAAGAAATCTTTGAAAAATTTGGGGCAATACAGGAAGTCAGCTAAAGGCAGATTTCTTTCAAAATTAGGACATTATTAAGAGTTACAGGAAAATATTTGTATTAAATTAAGCAGACGTCTCCAATGGACTTTAAAGAAACTGACATTATTCCAATCTGGAAAAGTTTGCAAGGAGTAACTGAACCCCTTAAGATGGTATCTGCTCATAAAACACAATGATACACCAAGTTTTTATCTTATAAATTTGATTAAGCAGAAAAACTCAGTATACATTACTGAGAAGATGCAAAGGTATGAGATTTTAAATTTCCTGCTTCTCTAAGCTCAAAATTCCTGTATCAATCCAGCAGAGCAACAGGAACCAGGGCCCAGTGAACACTCCATACCCAGGCACTCCACTGGAACTCAACATTCCATTTTTAAAACAGAATCAATGGAAAAATAAGAGTTTGATACACAGAATTTTACTTTACACTCAGCTTTTCTGCAACGTATCTATTCCAAATGTGAATGAGCATCTGCATAAAAAGAATCTCTCAGATGGAAAACGGTAATTAGCTGTTTTCCATCTCCACTGAAACCTAACAAGAAGAAATGGATTTATATTCAAGCATAATAGACACATACTTGTATTAAGAAAGGATGCTCTAACTACAATGAAATCTCAATTAACCAGCAAGGAGACAGAATCCTTAATTAATCAGAATTTCACCCAAAATAATAGCATCTGAAATTTGGTCACTCAAAAAATATGCTTCAAGTGAAGTTTGGGGTTGAGTATACATTTGAACCAATTTTCTTCAATTTCTACCAAGAGTCACTGTTACAATATGATGGTAATAAAAAATTGGGAATCAGAAACCTTGAACTATACATGCTTGGCTCTACCAACAAATATATTTTGACTTTAAGTTAGCTAACCTTTCCTAGGTCTTAGTTTTCTCAAACGCAAAATGAGGGTAATAGCTTTTAAGCTCTAGAACAGTTAAAAAAATAAATTTTTTTTTTTTTTTTGGAACACCAGAACCTTTTCTCAAAATATTAATTGAAAATAGGTAAAACAAACAAAAGCAGAACAGCTCTGGCTAAAGCAGGTACAGAAGACGAGTGGAGCCCCGTCCATCACAACGCCCCCCACATCACAGTTTTAATGGGGTGGAATGCCAATGTATCCAAAACACACCATTTGAAAACCTCTACTCTAGAATACTGAACAAGACAATAATTTTCCAAATGATATCACAGGCACTGCAAGATTAAAAAATAGAGAAATATTCTATCTTAAATATTCAAAAAATGTTTCACTTATGAATGAAAACTTTTCACTCTAAAAAACTTAAGAGTGTTTTTGTTTATCTCTTCAACTAACCAGAAACACTAATTTAACTGGTTCAGTGAAAGCGAACATTATTTTTAAGAATTCCAATTAACTGATGTCTCATTATATTAAATTATGGTAGCCCAAAAAATAATTACAGAATTGTCATACCTAAAGAGTTTTATGATTAAAATATATATATATATATATATAAAAAAATGAAAACATACAATGCTGTCTGACAGCAAAGGAATGGGCTAAACTGACTCTAGAAATTTATTAAGCCCAAGCAGTGCCATAGTTTACTTACATAAAATCCATTACTTCACAAAAATATTTTATTTTCAAATTCCATATTAGTTGAAAGTAAGACAAGTTATTTTTCATTACCACCAGGCACAAAAGGATTCAAGTGGGATACATGTCCCCACTTTAGCCAGAGAAGCTCTACTTTGTTCTGTCTTACAGAGTGAACTTCCTCACAATTGTCTGTTTAAATAAAGGGCTCTAGGAAGCTTAAAAAACAAAACTGTAGATATAAAAAAAACAGAGAAATCATGAAGTCTAAAATAATTAAAACAAAGTTTATAAGTTTAAACATGCAAATTAAAAAGGATAAACTAAGATTTTTCACTAAAAATTAAGAGCATCTTAATGTCTGAACTTCCATTAGAAATTTATGTATAATTTTTTTTAAATTCATAGGCTTATTTGACTTACATTTAAAATTTCTATTTTAAAAGAAATTATATTTACCCAATATGGTATAAAGCTTCATGGTTAATGAAAAGTAAATTTTCCCCCTTTTTTAAAAAAAATAAAGTTATCAATAAGGTGTTCTTAGTATATAGCTTCTAAAACTGGACTCTAATGTCTATAATAATCATTTGAAAGTACTCTTACCTTTCTTCTGAGCTATATAACCGAGCAAGTCCAAAATCTGCAAGTTTTATCTGCCCTCTAGTGGAATAAGACAAATAAACAAAAAGCATTAGTCTACTCGGAAATGGTCACACATTCATATTCTATTCCTAGAACTAATTAAAAATATATTTTATAAATAAAATTTAACTTTGATCATATTTTTAATTTTCATCACACTGCAGTACCACCAAGGTCCTACACTTAAGAGCGATAAATCCATGAAAAGATAAGGTAAAAAATTAGTACTTTGTTTTGGATAGTTTCAGTTACTATTCAGTACTAATACAGTGTTATTGTTACACTAGTGCTGTTATTATAATCATTATTACTATAATGGTACTAATATAATAGTATTTCAGCACTATTCAGTTACTATTTAGAAAAGGACACTTCAATGAAAATAAAACAAAATGAGTTAATTTCTACTAATAGTTAGCAGTAAGACAAATTACTTACTCAATTCAACAATGCTCAAGAGCTAAATCACTTTATTTTAAAATTGTTTCCCTTTCCAATTCTTGGAAGGGCAAGGTGCATAAAACATTTTCTACTAATTAAAATCAGGACCAGGCAAGTCTAAACTAACAAATAATACCAATTGTAATAGAAGTGTCAGAGTTTAACTTAATGCCATTAGTGAACTATTTAACATAAGCTTTAAATATATAGGTATGTCTCTGTGTGTTCCCATACAGGTGTGTATACACGCTTCAGAAGAAGTTCACCTTAAAAATATGATGACTGTTTTAAAAGAAAAATTCTAAAATCTATTCTTAACCTAAAGCTGAAATCACATTATTAATTATGAGAAGATTCATTAACATTATCTAGAAGACTACCAAGCAAGAAAGTCAACCAAATATTATTTTATGTATATTACAAACTATTAATGTAGGTTAACTAAAGTATATTTAACACAATTTTAGAGGTAGCGCAAGCTATAATATTGTTATTATGTTAAAAAACTTTGAAGCTATGAATAAGCTAAATTTTAAATCCTTTTAACAGAATTAAAGCATACCACTCATTTTGAACATATACATCAAGCTCATATCCATACCTATTGTTTAGAAGAATATTTGAACACTTAATATCTCTATGCAAAAAGTTCTTCTTATGACAATAATCCAGACCTTCCATTAGCTGTCTCATAAATGACTTTATGTGATTTTCATTAAAATGAACTAAGCCTGATTCCAGTAGTCCCATCAGATCATGGTCCATATATTCAAACACCAGATAAAATGCACCTAAGAATGAGAAAAATTAATACATTGAAGATTTTCATTTGTGCAACTTTCCTGTAGGTTCAAAATTTTTAAAAGTAAAATGCTGGGACAAAAATTAATCCTGGATAAGAGGTGCTACTTGGTCACTTCAATAAATTCATCTTTCTCTTTGAATTGATTATCAATGAATATAACCAAAGGAAACATCTAACCCAGTTGTCATGATATAAAAACAGCCCTGTTTATTTCCACATTGCATAGTTTCTGGGTGTGATTAATGTTTAAAAAAAAATCTTAACAGTTTTAGATATTAAACAAACTGTCTCTCAGCAGAAGCTGAATAAGATCGGTATAGATCATTGAAGAAAATAATAGTTACTAAAACAATAAAGGGTCTGAGACCAGACAGACTTTAGATGACTTCTATTCAACCTTCAAGAGATACATAATTTAATTATATTTGTACAGTTTCGGAGTATTTGAAAGCATAAAAATTGCAAATTTATTTCATAAAACCAGCTTAATCCTGCTAACAAAACCTAAAATAGCACATAGCTCACACACATACACACAAACTACACAATAACTGTGTTTATGAAAGAGATTCAAAAAGCCTAAATGAGACTTGTACAACTTAAATCCAGAGCTAGATAATGGAATATCACAATGAAGGAAAGTTTAATTTAGCAATTTAAGAATGAAAAATCTAATAATAAAATTCATTGTATCTATCTGTCCAAGGAGGGGAGAAAAAAACAAAAACAAAAAAACTCTAACACTATGCCAGAAAAGGAATCTGAAAAAAATTCACAATCAGCTAACTAAAAACAAAGTAAAGAACTCTGAGTAAACTTGCAACAGAAGAACTCTTTCTTAGAAGCACGTTATGGTACGTCTCTGAAACCAACAACCAATGTCATATTTAATAGTAAAATGCCAAGTGCTGTATGCAAGACGAAAATGTTCATTATTACTTAGTTCTGGAAGTGAGTAAATAAAAAGTATAAATACTGAAAGAGACAAAATGATAATTACTGGTAGAGAAGATGACTATTCCTCCTGAAAAAAATCAAAAGAATAAAGAGAAGGTAGCTGGGTTAGAGAAAATCAATACACAAAGAGCAAAAATACTTCATATGCCAGCAACAATTCATTAGAACATAAAATTTAAATTACTCCTTTCACAATAGAAAAAAAAAATAACACACAAATGACTAGCAATAAACTTTAAGGAGAATTGTACAAACTGAGAAACATCACATTGTAAAATCCTTTATTTTAAAGTAATTTCAATAAAAGGACCAACGGTTTATTTCTGTTTTCTTTTGCTGGAGGTGGAGGTGGGGTGGGGGTGGGTAGTGAGGAACACAACTTGACAACAACAATTCCAAAATTGAAAAAAACAAAAACCAGAGCATCAGCCAAAACATTTCTGAAAATACTTGTCCTACCCGAAATTAATATGATCTACCACACTGTAGGAACACACGAACAGTGGAATATATACCAGAAAACAAATCTCATATCTGATAATTAGGTTATGAAAACAGCCATTTTAAGTCAGTGAAGAAAGAACAGGCAAAATGATATTGGGACAAAACTGTAACCTCACTGAAAGGTGGGAAATTACACAAAAGGCAAAACCCACAAAAAAAAAAAAAAAAAAACTGACAGATTGCACTAAATAAATTTAAAGTCATTACATAAGAAAAACTATGAGGTTTCCATACACAAGCAATGAGAGATGTGAAAAGGAGGTTAAGAAAAAAACCTCCGTATTCAATAGCATCTAAGAGAGTAAAATATCTAGGAATAAATCTACCCAGGGATGTGAAAGACTTACACCACAAAAATTATAAAACAGTGCTGAATGAGACAAAGAAGACCTATATAGATGGAAGGATGTTCTGTGTTTCTGGATTGGAAGACTTAATATAGTTAAGATGTCAATACTATCCAAAGCGATCTATAGATTCCATGCAATCCTGATCAAAATTCCAACAGATTTTTTACAGAAATGGAGAAACTAATCCTCAACTTTATATGGAATGGCAAGAGGCCATGAACAGCCAAAGCAATATTGAAAAAGAAGAAAGTAGAGGCCTCACACTTCCCGAATTCAAAACATATTACACAGCTACAGTACTCCAAACAGCCTGGTACTGGTTTAACAAGACACACACAGACCAGTGGAATAGAACTGAAAACCCAGAAATAAATCCAAACATCTATGGTCAACTTATTTTTGTCAAGGGTGCTAAATCCATTCAATGGGGAAGGAACAGTCTCTTCAACAAAAGGTGCTGGGAAAACAGGATTTCCACATGCAGAAAAATGAAGCAAGATCCACACCTTACACCATACACAGAAACTAATTCACAGTGAATCAAGGACCTAAATGCTAAATCTAAAACCATAACATTCGTACAAGAAAATATAGGCAAGAAGCTATGGCATCTGGTTTTTCTAATGACAGATTATCAAACATATCAACAACCGTATAACCAGAAGAAGACAAAAGAGACAATTGGGACCTCATAAAAATTAAATACTTATGTTCATCAAAGAACTTTATCCAAAGAGTAAAAAGACAACCTACAGACTGGGAAAAAAATTTTGGAAACAACATAGCCAGTAAGGGTCTAATATTGAAATATATATATAAAACTGCTACAGCTTAACAACAAAAAGACAAATAAAATGGGGAAAACAAAAAAATGGGCAAAGGATATGACTAGACATTTCAGCAAAGAGGATATCCAAGCAGCCAACAAACACATGAAAAGATGCTCATCGTCATAAGCCATTAGAGAGAATCACATCAAAACTACAATGAGATACCACCTCACCCCAAAAAAAAAAAAAAAAAAAAAAAAAAAACCCAGAAAATAACGAATGTTGGCTAGGATGTGGGGTGATGGGAACCCTTATCCATTGTGGAAAGCAGTACGGCAATTCCTCAAAAAACTAAAAATTGAACTACTAATAGTCCAGCAATTCCAATCCTAGGTATATACCCTAGGAATCTAAAAGTAGCAACACAAACACATGCACATCTATGTCCACTGTAGCACTACTTACAATAGCAAAAAGGTAAAAACAATCTAAGTGTCCATCAACAGATGAATGGATAAACAAAATGCAGTACATGCACACAATGGAATACTACTCAGTCAGAAAGAGAAATGAAGTCCTGATACATACTACAACACAGATGAACCTTGAAGACATTACGCTGAATGAGTAAGGCAATCATAAAAGGACAAATTCTGTATGACTTCACTTATATAAAAAGACAAGAGTAAGTAAATATATAGACATCAATGCTTATTAGTGGTTACCTGGGGTGGGAGTGGGTAGGGAAAGAGGGTATTATTCTCTGCAAAGTAGTGAGTTTATGTTTATGATGATGGGAAAATAGGCACTGATGCGTAACGGCTGCACAACCTGACGAGTATAACTGATTATCACTAAGTTCTACACCAGAAAAAGTGTGAAATGGCAAATACTGGGTTATTTATAATTCTGTAATAACAGCAGCAACCAAAAATAAAACAAAAAACAAAAAAAGGGACAAAGAGAGAGGGTAAAGTTGTTGCTACTACTTAAATACATCCAAACACCTCACGGGATTAGTTCTGTTGGTTCAAAGGTACAGGGTCATGGCTTCATAGGACTGTCCAGTCAAATTAGCCTAATACTGCTTTTAGAACTACTGTTCCTCTTTCTAGTTCAGTGAGTACTGCCTGGGGTCTTAAAAGCTTGCAAGTGGCAATCCAAGATACAACTGGTCTCTATTCACCTGAACAGCAGAGGAAGAAGCAAACCCAGGAATTAGAAATGGAACTGGACTGCAGATCTAACTGCCGCCATGAACTACTGCCTCCTTAGCCATGAGATCAGATGAACTGGATGGTGCCCAGCTACAATTACTGACTGTCATGGATTGAATCGTGTCCCCCCAAAATATATGTCAACTTAGCTAGGTCATGATTCCCAGTATTGTATGATTGTGTAATCTGATGTGATTTCCCTACGTGTTGTAAACTCTATCACTATGATGAGGTTATACTGATGAGGTCTAGAAGACTGCACAGTGTCTTAAGCCAATCTTTTTTGAGATAGAAAAGACAGAAGCAAGCAGAAACACATGGGAACCTTGTATCACCAAGAAAGCAGTGCCGGGAGCAGAGCGCATCCTTTGGACCTGAGGTTCCTGCGCAGAGAAGCTCCCAGACCAAGGAAGATTGAAGACAAGGACCTTCCTCCAGAGCTGACGGAGAAAGCATTCCCCTGGAGCTGATGCCCTGAATTTGGAGTTGTAGCCTACTGGACTGTGAGAGAATAAACTTGTCTTTGTTAAAGCCATCCACTTGTGGTATTTCTGTTAGAGCAGTACTAGATAACTAAAGACACTGATCATTCTGATCAAGGATTCAATAGATGAATCCTGATCAAAAAGCGATAAACTATGGATCAGAATTTCAAATACTTACAGAATCCAAACTTACTTGTCCTATTAAGACTGGAAGAACCCCTGAAATTATTGCTCTGAGAAAATATTCAAACCATGAGCCAAAATTATCCCCTTCAATCATCTTTAAACTAAACAACTGTCCAGCTAAATTAGTAAAGAATGTTCGACATGAGCTTTGTGCTCTTTTAAACAATTGTCTACATGAGGTAAAATTGTCAGCAGTAACACTAAAGCACAGATGAGAAGTTTAGGGGCTAGTAAGTCTAAGCCAATGGTGGTGAAACAATATAGGTAGAGATACGAAGAATGGTGACGCAATGCCAAGAATGTAATCAATGTTATTGACTTGTACATATAGAAACTGATGAATGGGTGGGTGTATTTTTGCCATGTATATTTTCACCAAAATTAAAATTAAAAACAAAACAAAACAAAACTGTGAACTGGAGGTAAAAAATAAATGACAAACTGGGGAAACATATCTCCAACACACACAAATTAATATCCTTAATATAGAAAGAAGTCTTACTAATCAGTCCCAAAA